CCGGAACCAGGACAGCCCAGGCCCCACAGTGCCTCCCGTCAGTGTCAAACCAGTGGCGGTTTCAGAATTGTTTCTGTGACAATCTTGAGTTTGCTTCCTAAGGGGGCTCATCTTCCTCTCCTTGGGGACATTTGATCATTCTGTGAATGTTTTCTGATCAACTACTATTCTCCAGGCATTGTTCTGTGTTCCGTCCTTGTGAAGCTGGTTTTGTGTTTGTTGTTGTCGCTGGGTTGTGGGTTTTGAGACAAGGTCTCGCTATGTAGTTCAGGTTGGCCTCAAACTCACTGCGACCCTCCTGCCTCAGCCTCCCCAGTGCTGGGATTATAGGTGTGCTTCACCAGGCCCTCATATGGAGCTGCATGTTAGTAGAAGTAGAAACAGTGGACGAGGGGCTCACTACCGGGGTCAAATTAATAAACAGAATACATCCCATCCTCAAACACGAGCTGAGAAGCCACAACACAAGGAGGGCAGAGAAGGAACAATGGCGATCCATCCCCTTCCTGGTGCTGCTGGCTGTGGGCTTCAAGTGTGCAGAGCCTCAGTCCTGTGTCTGTGGTTTTAAGCTTGCGGTGATTATTCTAGGAGTCTCAGGGAACACAGTGATTGGTGTTCTGGGACAGAGACTGCACTGCTCAGGGAAGGCTAAGGTAAGACAGAACCATGTTGGAGAAAACCAAACCTGTACCTGGGGGGAGCTAGCTGGGCATCCGGGCAAGGAGCCTTCTGGGTAGAGGCAGCAGGGAGTCCAAGGCCCTGGGGAGGAAACAGGGGTCGCATTGTTAAGGAGCAGCAGGGAGCTCGGTGTGGCTGGAGGGGAGGGCAGGAGACAGGACAGAGGAGGGGCAGCCCTGGGGCCAGCGAGTGGCCTTGGCCCCCGTGAGGTGGGGCTGCGCTGTCGGCTAGTGCGGCTCTGCAGTTCCTGAGCTCTTCCCAGAGAGGGGGAGCTCCTGGGAGGGGGAGGGGCAGCAGAGGAGAAAAACCCTACCCAGACAAACAGAAGCCCTGGCGGCCTGGCCTCTGCCAACCGCAGCCTTTGGTTCTTCCCACCGCGGGGTTGCTGTTTTGCTGACCATTCATTCCGCATTGCTCCAAACTGGCGCCCTCCAATCAAAGCAGCGTGAGCCACAGGGGGTGCTGTTTAGAGTTTTCGAACAGCTGCATTTTAAAAAAAAGGGAAACAAAACAAGTCAAATAGATGCCACCAGTATATTTTATTTAACCCATGATCCAGACTGTTATCACTTCCACATGTCATAGGTACCCCAAAAAGGCAATGAGGAGAGAGCTGACATTCTTTGCTTCACGCCAGGGCCTCAGAATCCGCGGTGCCTTCGCCGTGACAGCGCCCCACCATTCAGGGGCTGCATCTCCGGCGGAAACGCTGGCAGGGTTAGACCCTGAGAGGCCTGGAGCAGGAAAAGCAGATCCGCACACCCGGCTTGTTCCAAACATCCTCCAAGTTGTTTCCGGTTCAAACTAAGCACCCTTAATCCCCAAACCTGAAATGCTCCAAAAGCCAGAGCGTTCCCGGCACGGGCACGATGGAGAGTTCCAGGCCGGGAAACGGCTCTGTGCAGAGTTGGGCCGTGGGCACCGACCTCTGTGCCAGGGGCTTGGGGGAGGCAGTCTGCTCACCCAGCCTCCGGGTGACCTCAGTTCACCCGGGAACAGCGGACTTTCCCAGACCGGGCCTTGGCGGGGCCTGCTCCTCCGGCGCCGCCCTGCAGTGCAGCCTCCAAGGGGCGCCATCCCCAGCCTCCTCCCGCCCAGACAAGACCCTCCGGCAGGCGGCGCAGACTCGCTGCCACCTTGCTGTGTGAGCTTGGGGAAATTACCAGACCTCTCTGTGCCTCGCTTTCCTCATCTGTCAAATAAAGTCGACAAGTGCATCGGCCTCCGGGTATCATGGAAGGGAAAGAGTTACAGGAGCTCCTTTAATCAGAGACTCTGACATTTTCCCCAAATCTGAAAACGTCTGAGCTCCAAATCGACACCAGAAGTGGAAAATTCCATACCATGAAACTTGGGTTTGTGCCCCCAAAACTCAAAATATTGTACAAGATTATCTTCCAGGGAGGTGTGTCAGGCGTGAGTGAAACATAAATGGATTTCCCATTTAGACATGGGTCCTGTGCCCAACACATCTTGTGCTGAATATTCCAAAGTCGGTGAACATAAGACAGGAACTCCATCCCTCAAAGGGAGAGAGAGAAGTGAATGTTAGAAAAACAAACACGCAAAGGCCAGGTGTGGCGGCACAGGCCTGTGATCCCAGCACTCCAGGAGGCTGAGGCAGGAGGCTCAAGTTCAAGCCCAGCCTGGGCAACTTAGCAACTTAGCGATACCCTGACCCAAAGTGAAAAATTAAAAGGAGGCGAGGCCAGAAGCAGGGAGTAGGGGAGAGGCCCGTCCGGGCTGGGTATCCCAGAGGTTAGGGCTGTGTTTTGGGGGTGCAGCCAAAGACAGGGGTCTGTGTGGGACCCAGGCAAGTGGGAAGATCATCAAACTCTACCCTCTGTCTCTTTAGTTTTCTTTTTTTTTTTCTTTTTGTACCAGGGATCAAACTAGGGTCCTTGTACTTGCAAGACAGGTGGCAGAACCACCGAGCTACAACCCCAGCTCTTGAGTCTCTTATTAAAAGGACTTCGTGGGAGCTTCATGGCCTCCCTTTTTCTGGGTCGTCTCCTCTCTGACCACCTGTTTCCCGGTTTGTGTGTCTCTGCCCTGTGTTTCTCTGTGCCCCATCGTGTCTGGCTCTTCCTCCATCTGTCTCTCCGTCTGTCACCCAGCCCGTTCCTGTCATCGTCTGGCCTCTCCCTGGCCCTGCTGGACTCTCGACTCTCATCTCCGTCTCTCATGGTCGCTGCCGTTCCCCACCCTGGCCTGGATTCTGCCTGGGAAGCCCCATTCTCTCCCTGCCAGACTGGAGCACACAGTGCAACCTCCCCGTTCTCCTGCCTGAGGGGCAGGGACGCCCCCCATACAGCCCTTCTTCCCCTCCCAGCTCCCCGCCCGTCCCCGAGCCCTGACCATGGACGCTGGTCACAGCCTGCTGCACCCTCCTTGTGGTCAGTGCTTCTGGGCTCAGGAAGGGTGTGGAGGGTCGGGGTGAGCCACAGGGCGACCGAAGACAGACAGACAGACAGACAGACAGACAGATGAGACAACTGGAGAATTAGTCAGGTGCCAACAGAGAACTGGAGACTGAGCAGAGGAAGAGACCTGTGTCAGAGTCAGAGACACAGTGAGAGAAAGGGGAGATTCAGCTCAGTGGTGCCAGCACCTGCCTGGCAAGTGCAAGGTTCTGAGTTCGATGCTTGGCTCCCCACCGCCAAAAAAGAGAAAGTGGAGGAGAGTCACGGGCCAGAGCAAGGGCAAGATGGGGCAACAGAGACAAGCACGGGTGGGAGGGGACGGCTCTGCCTCCAGACACCCACAACCGCCAGCCTGTGGTCTCCCACAGCCAGCGCCCATCTGTGACGTCACAGGCCACAGAGCTAACGAGCCCCCGGGCCCAGCCCCCTACTGTCCTGCTGGCCAGCGTGGACCACGCCTCTGCTGCCCCAGGCCCCTGCTGCGCCCCCAGACCCCCACAATCATGCTCCACGGGGGATGCTTCAGAACTTTAGATCTTGTCTCTGGTCACTCCTTCCTGTGTGCCCTCACTCGGCCCCCGCGGGTCCCTGCTCTCACAGACCAGGTTCTCCCTCCCCTCCTCTCAGCACAGGGTCCCCTCCTCGGAGACAGTGCGCCCATGGCTTTCCTCCACTGTCCCCACGAGTGAGGGGGCTTCGCTTTTCTCCCCTGAACCCAGCCTGACACAGAGCTTGGAGGGTGAGGGGTGAGCGAGGGGTCACAGCCCCCTGAGTGGAACTTTAGTCCCTGAGCGGGAACCATGTCCACCCTGGCCGTCGACGGGGAAACTGAGGCTCACGGAGCGGGTCGCCTGGCCAAGATTGTATTCCACACAGGCAACCTGGGCTTTGAGCCCTGGGAGTGCGCCGGAGGGAGACAGGCAGGGGTGGAGGAGGTCGAGAGAGCGGCAATAAAAGAAAATGAGGACACAAGAGAGAATGAACGCAGGAGAGGAAGAGAAAAAGAACTGGATAAACAGTGAAGGAGAACGGGGTGGGGGGGCACGCGAAGGAGGGGAGCGGGGGGGCCAAAGAAGGAAGGGGGCTGGGCTTGGGGTCCCCTCCCTGGGCCCTGCCCACCCCTCCCCAGAGCTGGCCCTGGGGTTTCAGCACCTGCCCCTGGACTGGGGCTGGGGGGGCAGGTCGGCCACTGAGGGTTTATAAAGCCCTGGGGGCTGCTGCAAGAGGCAGCTCCGCACAGCCCTGCGCCACGGCAGAGCCCAGGAGCCTGGAGCAGCCAGGTAAGCAGCCCAGGGTCCCCGCCCGCCGGGAGCACGGTAGCCTCGTATCAGACACTCCAGCGGCTGTGTGTCACCGTGACCTTCCGCCTCCTTGGGACCTGTCCTCCAGGCCCCTCTCCGGGGTTAGAGCGCCTCTCTGCTCCTCCCTGCACCTCTCCCCCAAGTCGGCTTGCTCAGCCTGTCTCGGCGCGGACGTCTCAAACGCCTGCTCCTTCCCGGTCTTCGGCTGCCCTGAGGGCCCACGCGGCACCCCTCCTCCCTGTCACAGATGCTGGCCCTTTCTCTGTGCCCTCCTCTCCCCCACCCGCTCTCAGTCAGGGGTAGGGGTGCTGGATGCTGAAGGGCCCGCTGCCCCCAACATCCCAGGAAAGGCAGAGTGGTGGGGAGGGACGGACATCCTTGGGCCGGAAGTCCCCAGGTTTACCTGAGCTCCCACATCCCCAGGTGCCGGCATGATGGTCACAGCAAGAAACCCCTGGGGCTGGCTTCTGGGGTACCTCGTCCTTGGGGTCCCAGGTACCTGAGTGCGTGTGGGAAACACTGCTGCGTGTGACACGATGTGATCGTCCCCTGAGGCTGCCCACGTGTGACTCCTCCTCGAGGCGCTTGTGTGTGTGACGTGTGTGCGGCTGTCCCTGAAGGCGCCGGGCCTGAGTCCCCGCCGATCGACAGGGCTGCGAGGATGCTGTGCGGATAGCGGCCGCCGAGGGCGCGGCTAAACGGGAGCTGGGCTTCCGGGAGTGGGCCTTTGCTGAAGACCTGTACCCGCTTTCCGGGGCTCCACCCTGGGACCCCCGGGAACCCTGTGTGTGCGCGTGTGCGTGTGTGCGTGTCTGATGGGCGGTGGCTGGGTGCGGCTATGTGTGACCGGCTAAATTGATGGGGAAGGCGCGTTCCAAGGACCCTGTGTCCACCTCGGGAGCCGCAACTATGCTTGAGGTCCTAACTGCAGCCCTTCACGGAAGCCCCAGGAGCCCTGGGCGGCCTCCTGACCCCCTCCCTAAAGCCCGCGACGCCAACCTGAAGCCCTGGCCACGCCCTATGACCACGCCCACCGCAACCTGCATCGTGAACCTATCCCTAGCCGTGGCCACGCCCCTGGCTCCCCAGTCCTGCCCCCAAAGCCTTGCCACGCCCCTGAATCCCACACCCCGGGCCGTGGTCCCGCCCCTCATGTCCCCAAAGCCCGCCACGCCCTAGGACCCCTGGCCA